TGTAAATTCTTTGATTGGAATATGAATGTTGCTGGAAGTATGAACATTTTCACAGGACAATGATATAAATGGAACTTTAAAACTTTTTTAAGTGTTACAGTGATATTTCGTTATATGTTCCATAATGTCAATAATATTGATTTTCTTGCAACATTCATAATTATTACAAATGTCAATGTAACGAAATATGTTTTATGCGATGTTTATGGTTTAGGTCTATCCTATACCTAGTCGGTGCCGTGAGTATTTTACCCAAGCCGTGATTGGCTGACACTCCATGCGCGCGGATTGCCATCATTTGGGTCAATTTTTAAACGCTTATAACTAACAAACGAAGCATTTGTCGTAATTTCGTATTTTTTGGGCCTACTCTTCTGAGGCAACGTCGGCCCATTTTCATTTATAATTATTATAATGATGTGTAGATAAAGTCTGTAAATACTACAGTTTAGAATAACTACTTTATTTGTTAATCTTTTTTTACAATGTGTATTACATTAAATTTTGTATGCTCCTTCTTACAATTCAACGTGGTACCATTTTTATTTATGACAATAATTCATAGATAGTGCACGTAAATAAAATACCGCGAAATTTCGCGTCAGTTTAATAAACTTAAACACATACTAATATGCTCCTCCAAGGACTCTATATTTCGAAATTTTTCATCACATTTTGGGCACCTCAATGTTGACATTAAAGGAGGTACTAGGTCACTATTCTGAAAATTTTATTGTAACAATTAACTTTACCATATAATAATGTATTAATAAATAATTTCGTGTTTAATAAACCATGTGAACAATAACAAACGTACTTCACTTTGTCCAGCAGGTACATATTGGAATTTCAAATTACAAAGTTCTTGTTGTAACTTCCGATTAAAGTCTATCTGCTGTTGTATATCATTACATAGCTGGCTCTTTTCCTGCATCAATAAGTTTTTCAATTCCCGTTCTTGCGTGAAATCTTCTTCGAAAAGTTGTAATTGTGTTTGCAATAAATTGATACTTTCCCTCTGCATTAAAAATAATATAATTACAGTACATCCATTTTAAAAGTATTAATTTCAAGAAACCTTCGCGATCATATGGCTGGGTCACCAAAAATCCGATTATTCAGCGGTACGTTGATTTTAAAGCGATAACGTATACAGCAATGAAATTGTTTAGGTCATCAAACGATGGAAAACGATCACGTTTCGTTTTCTTCAGAATTGGATCTGGGTAAAAAATGACCCAACCATTAGATTTCACAAAGTATGTATTCCTAGACTCAAGGCAGTATTCTTCTTTAGATGATTAAAATATCGACTATTTTTTAATGATACTTTCATAGAATTGAGCATTTTAAAAATTCAATAAAATAATAAAATTTTACAAATTTGAAGAAAGCAACGGCCATACTGAAGCGTAGGCAACGAATACATTTTTTTCAAAACGATGTCCCTCAAGCTGACGAAAGTAATATAGTCTAATCTAATTAATGTATTAGTGATTTATCGCTAGAAGCAATTGAAAATATTATTTATATTTCCTTAATTAACAACTTACGTGCTGTTCGATTTCGGTTTGTAAGTTTATTACACAAAGCTCTTTCCTTTGTATAGTCTCATGTAAAGAGCCAATTTCAGTGACTAACTGATTATATTTTACCTCAAATTTCTGTCTCTCTGCTTCTAATGTTTCTTTATAATGACTTTCGTATAACTGACTTTGCTGATCAAGAGATGATTTTTCTGCGAGCAAGCTTATCCTTTCTTGCTGTAGAATTTCCTTTGCGGTATTTAAATTCTTGAACTCTATTTCGAGATTCTTCTTCTGAGTGCTTATTATCTGATTCTGTTCTTCAAGTCTTTCCTTCTCTTTGGCCAGATAGTTCAATTCTTCTTCTAGTACCTTTTTAGTTTTAGCATCTTGTTCCATCGATTCTGACGTTTTTTGAACAGATTTTTCATCAAGCAAGCTTATCCTTTCGTGCTGTAGTACTTCCTCTGTGGTATTTAAATTTTTGAATTCCGTTTCGACATCCTCCCTCTCGATGCTTAATAACCGTTTCTTGTCTTCAAGTCCTTCCTTCTCTTTGGCCAGCGACTTCAATTCTTCTTGCAGTACCTGTTTATTTTTCGCATCTTGTTCCATAGATTCTGTCGCTTTTTGAACAGATTCAGTGGTCGTGTTGGCTTTCATCGTATTTTCTACTTTAACTCTCAATGCCGTTTCTAGTTCATATAGAATCGAATTACAATCCAACAAAGTTTTCTGGAATTGATTTTGTGTAACCAGAGCACGTTCGTTGTCCTCAATCAACTTCTGTCGTTCTACAACAATCCTTTTATGGCAACTAGCTAGTTGATCTTTAATGTAATCAAAGTTTGAACTTAAGTGTATTAAGATGTAATCAGAGTTCTGGGTTTGTGGACAACAATCGTTCAATGACTCAGCGGTTTCAAAGGTTTCTATAACTTCTTGTAAACATTTTTCTATAATGGCACAACGATCAATTTGCTTATCGAAATAGACCGTTAATTCTTGCAACTTCTCTTTGCACTCCCCTAGCCTTTGAATGTGTTGTTGACGGTACTTTTTCGGATTTATGGGACTTTTAATACAAAACTGTACAGGAGCGGTGGCCTAAAATATTGTATAATTCAGTACTACATTGAAGAGTACATTGTGTAGATTTCCTGAGCAAACGTGAGACTAGTTAAAGTTACAGTGAGTAATTCGTAGTGGACAAATACGTTGGTAGGTTTCTGACTTCTTTCGACTGTCAGCGTACCGATCATATTGTGCTTACACATTGTATACGCCATCTGTTACGAGTAACGATCATTTGCATACACAGTGCTAACCCAGGATTTCTGCATCTCCGAATGATGATTCGAAGCTCTAACAGAACTTGGCCGTAGGCATCATTCATTATCAGAGACGCAGATATGCTGCACCACAAACACTTTATTTCTTGGTATCTTATTTGTTTTTTCGGCTACTGATCACTCAAGCTGAGTGAATGGATCGAGACTTTCAGAATGTGAAATGTAAGTGGATTCTGACAAATTATTTCAAAGTTATACATTGAACCCACTCGAAGGAATCGAAGAATTCTACACATTGTGAACCATTTCTTCTACTTCGTTTGACTCTACAACAGGCTGAATATCTTCAATCATCAACACTGCCAAAACAATGTTCTGACAGTGTTAAATTAACACGACACGACCTATGTTTCCCTGTCCCTTTTCTCAATTTTGTTTGCGCAGACGCGTTAGAAGCTTCACGTTTGCTCAGTGGAATTATACATATTTGTTCAGACACTTACGTGTTCTAATTTATGTTCAAGTGTAGTAACTGATTCCTTTAACAAATTAATTTCTTTATCTCTTGTTAAATAATTTTCACAATTTGTGCACGTATTTATATTTTTTGAATGCCTAGGAGAATCACTCTTAATGGACTGATTAAAATAATTCGAATCATATGACTTTGACATTGCAGCTTGTACCTCTAACTTTTTTATATTGAGTCTTTGTTCTTGTATTGTAGAAGTGGCTTGTTTCAACTGAGAACTCATTAATATTGATATACTGTGTAATTTATCAACATCGGAGGATAGTTTTTCACACTTCTGTTTAGAATTACTTAACTGCTCTGTTAACGAAGATACTTTTTCCTGAAGGTCTGTTGCAGTAAGAGATGACCCATTTTCTTCCACGCTGCTATTTATTTCATTTGCATTTAGCGCCTGGTTAGCAAATTAATAATGTTAACAAATATGCGAAAAATAAAATATAATGCAGCAGAACATACCTCATACCCCGATTCTATGATATTGCCTCCAACAGAAAGCTTCATTTTTAAATCAGTATTTTCCTTTTTAAGGTAATTCATTAATTCTCTGGTTTCAGTAAATTTTTTCTTATGATTATGATGTACTTTCATCATCTCTTCTTGCCAACTGGCTAAAGTGTTAAACTGTTGCCTCATAGCTACATTATTTTGTTTCAGTGTTTCTTTTAGCTTTCCATTCTCTTGTAACAATTCATTCAACTTCTGGTGTACCTCATTTGAATTCCATGATGCTATCATAGAATTGTAATCCTGCTTGGAAAACAAAGTTCTTAAGAATCTAAACTTAACAGTTTAGTGAGCTAACAGGACTTCCTACTTTAAAGGGTTAAAAGACACATATTTTCTTTTTCTTATATTGTCTTTGAAATCAGCATTATCAGCATCTAAAAACTGTATTACGACATACTGTTTTTCAATTAATGTACACAATATTTCGAAACCTTAAAACCAATTAAGTATTGTATGTATACTTTCAAAATGAGTGGCAATGTCAGAACAGATTGAACCAGATTTTAAGAAATTATTAATTATTTTAAATGTTAAAATGGGAAAACTCCTTATAACTAAGCTAAATAATAGACACGTACAACAGACATGCTCTTTTGCTGAATGTCAACATATGATGCAAGCGATGATGCTTGAATGGAATCCATTGAGTCTTTACCTAGCACCACAAAGGACAATGTTTCATTTGGATCAACAACACTGAAATTTGTTAATGCAGCATTTGAGTACAGGGGCGTGTCATCATCTAATATAAATCTAGCTTTTCCATTATTCATAGTAAAGCCAAGACTCTGTAGATGAGTCTCTGGCTCTACAGATAATTTTGAATTTCCTGATTCTTGTGTTCCTAGGGAAGACTTTCTTTCTTGATTAGATTCCATGTTGTAAAATTCATCTGGGTTTACGTTATCTTAATCTCAGCATTCAATGTCTCTCTGTAACACTAATACCTGCAATTTCAATAGAATAATTATTATGTTTGAAAGTTGACAATATCTATACAATAGATTATGGATGTTTATATAAATTCATGTTTTTGTACACTGGCTTATAAAAATTCAAATTAAATATAAATTTTGATCATTTATTGAGGGTTCCGGTAGTTCAAAAGAAAATAAAAATTTCATTGTACGTTACTAGTTTTGGTTTTATTGTCTTGTGCAAACTCATGTATGATATAAATGTATATAAAATTTGGATTCTTGTGATTAATATATTTTTTCACTAACATTATTATTAAACGGAATAATGAACATAATGTGTACAATCGTACAATCATGATTAATTATTATTATATTAAAATTATACAGTTTACATCATGTCTGAAAATAAATATTATTTGTATGAGCTCAAAACATCACAGCAAACTTACTGTCCGAGACGAAACTGCGTCGGTATATTAAAAAATAAAAAAAAAACTGAATCAATGCATTGCGTATTGCATTTATCAAGTTCGATATGACGCAAGAACATTTACGATACGTTTTATGCGTACTACAGAAATGAATAGAGTCTGCGATTGATACAGGACCATACAGAACTAACAATATGTTTCAATGGAATTTAAACTTACCAAAATCATTCATTGATAAACGTTATACATCATCAACAGAAATGACAGTTCATCACACCACTTTCAATGTGTTCATAATAACATTGCATGTACGTGCATATGATGGCGCTGCTCCAGCACCACTCAGCACCACACTTCCAATTACGAGAATGGGTAAGTACATAGATAGACTGCAAATAGTATTTGGAACACTTTACAACTCTTACTGTAGTCACATTTAGTTTTACGCAGTTTCACGTAACAATTTCTTTGTTAAAGATCTTATACATGATATATCTATACATAATTACATATGTACCAATCATGAGAACCGTAGACTGCAAACTGCGTCAAAACATATCAGATGCTGCCTTACCAACAGAACTTCACACTTGTTATGTATAGATGTATATACCTATAGTTAGCAGCACTATTACATTTCATTGAAAGAGCGAAATTCAAAATGTTACGATGCTTAAACTATATATAAACATATGTTTTAACATAGAAATTTGCAATTTATTATTAGTGTAGTGTAGTTTAATACTTTTTTATTCGTATATAAATATGTAATTTACTCGATACGGAACAAAATATTATATGTATTATCATGGAAATGCAAAAACAAGAAACAGTTTAATTTAATCTTATTATTAACGTGTACACATTTCCTGAACTCTAAAGAATATTAGAATTGTGAATGTATTTAATTTCATTCAGTCAAAAGTTATATTTCAATTTGAATTGTAATTGAATTAAGTTACACAGTTAAATTCAAATTAAGAATAAAACATTTTTATAAATCGGAAAAATAGCTTTTATTTCTGAAAATGGGTTGTAACAAACAGAGCGGAACAGCACAAAAAACGGGATTGGTGACCAGGAACGTGGGGATGCGGTCAGAGAATTTAGAAATGAAATACTACTCGTTATTTGACTTCGAAATTTATTTTCTTTGAATTAAAACCCGGAAATTCTTTAGAAAACTATTTACTGGATAATGAAAACTTACTGAAACTTCGATATACGTCTGATCACTTCGGAGTCCGTAGCAGGAATAATAAAACCCAGTTAACACGTGACGCTTAATGACGCCTTGAAGACGGCTTAAAGGCGCCTTAGATCTAAAACAGCCGTAAAACAAGCGTTTTCGAGGCGTCATGTGCTATCTGGGTACTTATGGCTTCACGAGTATCATATTTATTAAATGTACCTCTCATTGGACCAAGCATGGCTGGCAATTGTATAACAATAACTATGAATACCGAAGCCATCTTCATATGGTACAGCACAAGGCGGATACGCAACACAACACTTTCTAGGGTTTATTTCTGTCACAATTTCCACCAGTTCAGTGCATTCTAGTAAGACGTAAATGTCCCCACCTATCTGTACTGTTGTGTACGCGCCCTAAATATTCTGTGAAGATGGGCGCGAATTTCAAATCAAATTGACCAAGCATTTTTGAGTAGTTAAGAAATTTGTATTGTTTTATTATTAGACTACGTATTGTACATACAATACGTAGTCATATACTATATAGTTATAATCAATGTATTCAAGTAAAACAAAATAAAATGGAAACATTAATAAAGTTTAAGGCAGACTACACAGTGTCTAAATTCCTGTTTTAGTGTACATCCAGAAAAACAGTGTAAGGAGACGGGCCCACTATCACTTGGTCTCAGGAATTATTGAAATTTATGTTATGAAAATAACTATTCCAAGAATGAAATGAAATCTTCAAAAGTAAACGCTTGTGAAAACAAATTACACTATTATTATACGTTTTGCAAAAGTCTTTTATTCATGGAAGATTCGAAATACAGATTCACTCAAAGAAATAGCCACGATTAAAAAACAAGATTAATAGATTCGTATGAAATTAACATTAATAATCTACATTTTCGATAAAAAAAACTCTTTAACCTATTCGAGACTGACGGGACAATACATCCCACGCTAACTTTCATAATGTCTGCGTGGACAAATGCTCCAAAATTCAATCTTAATAAATAAAATTTATAAGGAAACGGATGTATCAGATGTTCAGCAGCCAAGAAAGAAAAGCGGACTAGAATTGCATGTTCCAGCTGCAGAGTTGGACTCTGTATTAATCGTTTTACATCATATCATTCATAATATTATAATTATATTATAACCTTATCCTATCAACCATTTCACTTTGTTAACCATTTTGTAAGATATTTTAATGAATAAAATCATTTCCCTAGTAACAATTTCTTCTGCTACCATCGAGACCTATTTGAGACATACGATCCTATTATAAAGGACTAATCGGGCTATACATCCCGTTTTCAAAACTATGTTTAACCTACTTTTTTCTTAATATTTCAGTGTATTATACACCGTACCATTATTATATTATTGAGTTCATCGTTAAAAAATATCCGCCTCGATACGGTTAAAACTTTGATGAATGGATCAATTCTGTGACCAAAGTTCTTGCTCTTGTCATATCCACCCAATTCTAACCGGATTGGAATTTTAATTGATTCGTTACGGATAAGTTGCCGACAAAATACATCTCACGTTGCGAAAAGTGATCGCGACACCGTGTCCGCGGTTGAGATCCGCCCGAGAAAACGGGCAAGCAATCAGTAGCGTTATTGTTGCAAATTTGCCAATCTAAATGGCGAGATTTATTATTCCTGTCTCGAGCAGAACTGTCGCCCGTTATTATCGTGTGTCTATGGACTAGTTTATTAATAGATATTGCGCAAGGTATATTCATTTTGTCGCGGGCAAGGTGTTGCGTAAAGCTCCGCCGTGTTAGATACTTATATGCACTTCGGGGTTTATCGTTTCAAGGGATCACCTTATGCACACCGACTGTTTCTCTCAACCCTGAGGTAAACAGGAGTCGGACTGGCTCGGCGGTACGAAGGTCGATTTGCGGCGTTATTTCTCAAGTTACAATCGCAATCCCCTGTTTGTGACAATTTCTGGTGCTTGTTACGAACGGCGTTTTTATTAAATCGACCAATCCTACGGACAAATGAAAACGGAAAATTCTCGGTGGAAGTTCTATTCGGGATCCGTTTGTTTCGTAACTTTATTAGCGGCACAGGAGTTGATCGAGAAACCAAGGCTTTCGTATTGTTTACCGCTTACTGATGTCAACTTTTATTTCCCCTTTAGCGACATGGAACACGGGGACATTTCTTTCTTGTTTTATAACCACAGTCTGCATTTGAGTACAGCCGACCCTCCCGTATCCGAACTAATAGGAAGACATAAAGTGTTCGGATAATAGAGCAATACCTTTTCTGATACTAAACTTTCTTTATGTAAATATAGATCAAGAAAGTTGACACTTTGTTTAAACGTTTATGAATCGCATATCTTTTTCGCTGCTAAATTACAGAAAATTTTCAACATAAGTAACTGCGTATAATTCAATCCAACAGACGAAAGTTTAGTGTGTGTAATATACCGTTGTAAATTGTATATTTTCTTACGATTTTTCAATAAAAAACAGTCAAATCATACATATGCGTTATTCATTAATCCCGCAGTATCTCCACTCCCATTGCTAATTTCAATTTACCAAAAACATAATAAAAAACAATAAATAATAGCAAAATTATACATTCCTAACACTTTTAAAAAAGCGCGGAAACTGCAAAAACTGACATGTCGCGCCATCTGGTGGCGACTTTGCAAACTATCGAAAGTTTTGGAATTAGTTCCAATTTTCGCCACCAAAGTGGTGGGGGCGCCACTAAATGTTCCATAAATTCCCAAATGTTTCCGGCACTTTTCTGAATCCAAGATGGCGGAAAAATTGAAGAATTTATGGGACATTTAGTGGCGCCCCCACCACTTTGGTGGCGAAAATTGGAACTAATTCTAAAACTTTTTAAGCAGCGCCATCTAGTGGCGTCTTTCCGAACTATGGAAGAAGTTCTGGGATTAGTTCCAATTTTCGCCACCAAAGTGGTGGGGGCGCCATAATATGTTCCATAAATTCCCAATTTTTCCCGCGCTTTTTCAAATTCAAATTTCACGTTAAATTGAACTTAAAATTTATTTCAATGCAATTTTAAGTGTGTTTACCAATTACTAGTTATTTATTTATGGAAACTATGGGATAGTCGTAGTGATAGGCTTAATAAACAACACATATATACCCATTAACTGTTTTTTATTAAAAGAATCTGATGAAAATACACAATTTACAATAGTACTTGAATACATTTCACAACAATTGCCTTAAATACTACTTATATATATACGAGTTTACAATATATTTGTAACAATATGTGCATAAATTCAGTAAAACATGGCTTAAATGTTATGCAGACTTATAACAATAAAAATAATTCGCGAGCACTGAGTTGCCCATCACTGCTTTACGTTAATACAG